ACAAATAACTCAAGTAAAGTGATTCACAGCTAAATGTGAGGTTCTTGGGAAGCAGCTCGAGACATAGATGTGAAAGAGCCTCTAGAGAATTAACCTAAATATGGACAGGAATAACTATATGCGTGGTTATATCTATTAAGAGTTTTTGTATTAAACAAATTGGCACCCCAGAGCCCTGACTGCAAATTGAAGGAGCCAGCTTACGTTGGATTTATCTTTCTGACCAAGGCCAGCTCAAACTTAGAAATTGGCTATCTTCTTGTCAGCGCAGAACTCCCTGAAACTGCTGAGCACTCAGGTTTTGTTCGGCTGTAGGTCCTGCCCTTTGGAGGCGGAGACAGAGTACTGATCATCTAACGGTTAATTAACTATTCATTGTTTCCAATTCTGATTTGCGGTGCATAAGTTTAGGAGCACCTTTTCCCAGAATCACTGCCTTCTTTGTTTTCGTTTGTTTTAAAACAAAGGAAAAGAAACATTATTCTAACATAAAATAGGTTTAACTTTCAAAACCAAGGAATGAACAACTAGGACATTCAGGCAGACCACGCAACGAGTTTTCTTGGGTTCTTTTCTTAGAAGCAAATGTCTTAACGGTGGCAGTGGGTTGTGTCTCATTCTCACCACTTGGGGGTGCTGTGGCTTCATATCTAAATTGTCAATAAAATCCAAAAAGGGCTAACTCTGTTATAGATTCTCATAACAACCTCGTTTTTGGGGTCTCCAGACTCCAGACAATGAACCCTGTTGAATGGTGGCAATTCGGAGTCGATGCACACTTTAGAAATTTGATTTTCTGTAATTCAAAAGTTTAGTTAAGAGTCTTGGTAAAACTCTGCAGCTGGATTCCAGGCATGGATTTATTGCTGCCTGGTCTATCTTTTGGGGCAGAAGGTTGATAACCTCCCGCGGTGTCCATGCTTGGTCCCAGGTTACTTCCTTTTAAGCTATAAAACTTGTTAGACAACTTAATCCTGTTTTATGGCTTTTACCTCAGACTTTGTGGAGCCAAAACTTTTAGTTTGGGTAACATGGGGAGTTCTTGTAAACAAGAGTGACTTTGGTTCAACCAGATGGTGGTGTTCACTACACAGGGCATCCGCTCCTTGCCATGGACACCCCTGACTCTCTCTCATGGCTGTGTCTCTGGCACGATGGCTCCTATCGGGCCTGTATTTTCTCTCATTCACAGGACGGGTATGGGGCCAGTCTACCTCTGTGGACCACAACAGTCTGCCACCCGCCCTGAGCCAATATGCTACCTTGCCTAGGCGGTCTTTGACCATGCAGAAGCCCTTCCACAGTGACTTTTTTGACAGATGAACCCCTGGTCACTATGTAATTCCCTACTATGTATGGCCACAATGCACCTCACGGCCTGACCCTCAGGTTCTTTGAACTGCAAAAGCCAGATAAATGAGGCAAGAACAGTGCGGTAAAAGGGGGTTCTATACAGATAGGGGCGTAAAAAGGGGATTCCATATGGGTAGGGTCAGAAATGGCGCAGCCCCACCATGAGGGGCAACAGCTCCCATCATATCACGCAGTAGTTGCACACTGGCATACTCAGACACCAGCTTTAGTATACAATAACTCTCTCGTTCCCTTCCTGCACTTGTGAGAGGACAGCACTGATGGCCCTATCGCTGGCATCTATGAACTCACTGCCCAACCTAAGGATTGACAGCACCGGTACCTTGCATAGTCAGGCGCAGAGGGTAGAAAACAGCGAGCTGATCCAAGGCATTATCAATGCGTGGGGTCCAGCTACCATCTTTGCTATAACTGCCAGCACCACCCAGGGGCTCCTCAACAGCTCAGTGAATCTTGCCATCTCCTTTATTTTCTGCTCTGCGACCTCTTTCTTTGCCAGCAGAAGCCAGCAAAGCAGAGCTGAATTGGGGCAGTGTCACCAGTGTTGATTTTGTGTTGCACTAAGTCAGTCCGTTTACATTTCATCTCTCTAGCTACGGAGAAGCTCCTACAGCCACTGCTTCTGCTCCTCCATTAAGCCCAGCCCCTGCTTTGTACTAATCACCGCTGTCTGTGCCTTCCACCACTTCTGTTGTTTGCTGCGCCATCAACACAGATGGGAGTGCTCTATGTGTACACCCCGAACGACCCTTGGGGATCCATTCACTGGTACTGGCCCTGTGTGTTCAGCTCCTCCCACACAGGTGCCTTATCTTTTATTCATCTCTTATCTCTGCCATTACAATACACTATTAGCCATATCAATTTTTTTTTTTCTAAACTGAACCAGAGTTAACATCTTAGCTTTAACAAGACCAGTCAGATATGCCAATAAAAGGTCATTGGCAAAGTTGTTTAAATAATTATAAGTGGAAAAAGTGTTAACAGATCATTAAAATAATTTAAAATGTGCACTTTTTACATTTTACATTACATACTTTTTGGAGCAACCTTTTGGTGGGCCTTTTCCCCTGGGCATTGGGTGCTCATGGGCAGTCATCCAGGTCACCTGTATAGTAGATCCAGCCATGAGTACAAACTTATGTATTCTCCACTCTCATCTCTTCCGAGACAGCCAACAAGATTGTGTCACAAAATCAGTTTCTGAATCATAGAATAGAGAAGCTGTATGAAGAGGAAGAAGATTTGGGGTTTCTGGATAGAGCGAGTGATTCCATCCTTATTTAACACAAAATAGACACCAAATAGACATGTGTACCCTTTTAGTGAAAGCAAAGGAGCCCAACTGAGATATTGTGTCAAGATAATTTTACCATTTCATTTGTTGTCATCCTCATCTGACGAGTTGTTTCTGTTGCTCAGGTAATTCATGCTCCTTATTTTAATGATGGTTTAAAGACAGTTATATGACCACAATACAATATTCAGCATACTGAGGTATAGGGTCTATATAGATACTAGTTTTATTGTTTAATTTGTTGTCCTCCTAATCGAATGAGATGTTTCTGTTGCAGTTGCAGTAATGTTAATCTTACTTCCTCCCCTGCAAAGGACTGCACGGCCTATGGCATTTGTTCTGGTGTGTCTGTGTGTGCACCCAGGGACTTGGCTCGAGCTGATAGGTTGCTGGGGACCAGCTGACCTTTGAAGGGGGGAGCTATGTAGCGTCCTACTACTGCCAGGCCCTGGCACTGAAAGACTCTGGAGGTATGGCTAGTCTTGTGTGAGAGGAGATGTTATTGTCAGGGTGAAGTGCAGAGGCGTTGACCGGTAAATATCCGGGACTCAGCCCAGATCACTGTAGAATTATTTTGGGATATCAGCCTCAACAGTTTTTTAATTACACAGTAAAATGTGCAGTTGCTACATTTTTAAAAGAAATTATAAGTCAGCAAAACCTGCAGCGATTCAGCAATGCTTATTGCGTCTTATAAACAAAATCATTAAAAATGTTATTGTACTTAAAATAATGAGTTAACCAAAGTACTACAAGTTCTGTGAACTCTCTCTCTCAACGCTCTCTCCAGCACGAGAAAGAGAGCGAAAGAGTAGTGAGTGCACGCACTAGAGAAAGTGCGAGAAAGAAAATGTGTGCCTGAAATCTCAGTAAAAAGTGGTAAATCTACAACCCCATTTCCAAAAAAGTTGGGACACTGTGCAGAATGTAAATAAATATAGGATGCAATGATGTGCAAATCAAGTAAACCATATTTTTAAAGGAAAATACTACAAAGACAACATATCAAATGTGTAAACTGAGATATTTTATTGTTTTTTGAAAAATATATGCCCATTTTGAATTTGATGTCAACAACACATTCCAAAAAAAAGTTGGGACGGGGCATGTTTACCACTTATTACCTCTTCTTTTAACAACACTCTGTAAGCGTTTGGGAACTGAGGAGACCGACTGCTGTAGTTTTGGAAGTGAAATGTTTTCCTATTCTTGTTTAATGTACGATTTCAGCTGCTCAACAGTTCGGGGGCTCATTTGCAGTATTTTTCATTTCATAATGTGCAAAATGTTCTCAGTGTGTGACAGGTTGAGACTGCAGGCAGGCCAGTTCAGCGCCCGGACTCTTTTAATATGGAGCTGTGCTGCTGTAATACATGCAGAATGTGGTTTGGCACTGTCTTGCTGAAATAAGCAAGGCCTTCTCTGAAAAAGACATCATTTGGAGGGCAGCATATGTTGCCAAAACATGTATCTATTGTTCAGCATGAATGGTGCCTTCATATATGTGCACATCACCCCTACCATGTGCACTAATGCCCCCATAACATCATGAATACTGGCTTTTGAACTGTGCACTGATAACAAGCTGAGTGGTCTTTAGCCCACAGGACACTGCATCCATTATTTTCAAAAACGATTTAAAATTTTGATTTGTCGGACTACAGGACACTTTCCCACTTCCCCTCTGTCCATTTTAAATGAGCTCAGGGCCAGAGAAGGTGGCAGGGTTTCTTTTTTATGTGGAGAAACATTATTCTTGAATTGTTGCACTGATCATGCAGTTTTTCACCATCTTAACTTCTGAAAGACTCAGCCTCTCTGGGATGCTCTTTTTGTACTCAATCACATTACTGACTTATTGCCAATTAACCACCAGGTGTTTTTTAGCATTACACAACTTTACCAGCCTTTTGTTGTCCCGTCCCAACTTTTTGGGAACGTGTTGTTGGCATCAAATTTAAAATGGCCATATATTGTTGTTCAAAAAATATTAAGATTTCTCAGTTTCAACATTTGTCTGTACTATAATATTACAGTCTGTACTATTTATGCTGCATACCTGTACATCTCAGCCCTATACTGCACTGTAAAATTTTTTTAGCTTGTGCAACAAAAAAAAAAAACTTGGTACAGAATTTCCTCAAATTTTTTCTTGATCACTCAACCTTTGTAAATTGTTAGTTATGCTGATGAATATATTTTGTTAACACTAAAAGAAAAACTAACAATTTCTTAGCACAACAAATGTTCTCATGCTTGTCTTATAAAATTTTTAAAGCTCACCTGTGTTCACTGGTATGCAGACATGAAATGATTACATCAGAAAGCATTTTGAAGGAATTGCTTTAATTGTCTAAACAACATATACAGAACTTACAATTCAGACAAAATGACTGGAATAACAATTACACAAGTAAAGAAACAGTTAAAATGGTGTTTACCAAAAAATTACAAACTACATTGGTGTGTGCAGCACCTGTGGCCAGCATCCTGTGATCGCTGATGAAGGACTAGAGGATGACCAACACACACTGTGCACCAACAGATGAGCTATCATTTTTAACTTTACGTCTACAAGGTGGACCAACAAGGCAGGAGTGTCAAATAATTTGGACAGTGAGTGGACACAGTGTTTTAAAAAATTCCAGCATCACTGCTGTGTCCAATACACCACCCAAATAATACCTGCTCTGTGAGGGTCCTGTGGAGGTTCTGACCACTGAAAAACAGGGTGAAAGAGGGCTAAAAGTTATGTACAGAAACAGATATGACTGCAATCTGTTAGGAGTACCTTAAAAATGGCCAGTGAGTGTAAATGTGTAGGAGAGAGTGACAGCAAGAGAATCAACATCTGAAGCCTACCCTAGTGGGCTAAAAAATACTCTTAACTCTTAGTCTTAACAGATGTGGAGGTCTCTGGTCAATTTCTTTGCCACTTGCAACTTGTGAATGTGGATTCTTAATGGCTGCATCAAAAATGAAGAAACATTAAGTAAAATTAGTAATAAACACTCCAAAAAGAATAATCCAAAAAGCAGACAGTGTGAAAAATCGATATACAAATCAACAACAAGAAAAAGAAAAAAGCTTATGCAATAGAAATGCTCCTTGCATGTTATTGTGAATAACAATGTACCAGTTTTGCAAAGTAAATAAAAAAGCAAAGCATGTGAGCCATAGTTCCAAATACATCTTAAAATGTAAATCATAATATTGGCAAAATATGTAGTACAATATAATGAAATATGTACTAATAATGTGAGGAGCAAAACTCTAAACAATACTATAGTAAAAGCACCTGGGACAAGCTGTAAGCCCTAAGCAGTTTAGGATATCTGTAGGCTCCTGTAGCTGCAATGTGGTGGGTGGGAGGTGCTTAGAAGTAGAGGAAAAAGAGACATTGAAACAGGACTTTAGTAAAATTAATATTTTCGTTGTATAAGATGGGATCCACCATGGAAGCAGATATACTATTCATGTAAACTTGAAAGGAGTGAAAAAGGTGAGGTGAGAAAACACAATCCACTCTAGTTAAGTTCAAAGGCATCCTCACCATTTAGAATTTTAGTGATTTAAAAATGTAAATAAAAAATTCTGGTACACATTAGATTAACCTACAGGAAAGGAAAAAAAACAGTGGTTCAGTCAAGCAAAAAAGTTGTATTACATAGAAACAAAGCATGGGCACAATCTTTATGGGCACGACCCCACATCTCTTATTCTTTAAATTTTCTGTTAAATCACCTTATATCTCAATGTTTTCATTCCACAATTTGAGGTGGCATGGAAATATGTATAAGAGCAAACTTCAGGTTCATGAACAACGTAATATGTTTATTTTAAATCATAAGAAACAGAAATACAGTCTGTGCTACAGACAGAGAACTTTTCCAAATGCACTCTGCACTCTGTTGAGTACCCTGGAGGTAAATGTGGAGGTCATTACAATAAGAGAACATGTTTGGTTAAGACCTAAAGCAGCAACATGAATAGAAGAGAGAACAAAGATTTCCCAAATATTAGTCTGATACTGGTTAAGCCACTTAGCATCTAGTTACCAAATCACAGCTCAGTTACAATAACAACTTACTGTTTTAACTGTATCTGCAGCACCAGTCACTCCCGCAGATTTCTGTTTTTACCTTCTAAACTCATGTGAGTTGTTTCTTTTTTTTAAGGTAATGATGAAAAACAATTATACTAAAATGGTGCAGTTGTATTTCTAGATATTAAGCATTTGTAAATGTACACAGTTTAGCCTTATTAATATTTTATGCTTGCAGTTCTGGAAATTTATGCAAGGCCTGTTTAATTAATTGTAACCTCAGTGATTCCCTTCTTCAGACACTTTAAACAATCCTTTCACCAGCACCTTAACTTTGCATTCTCCCCATGGATTGGGGGGGGATTATTCACAGAGACCTATAATGAAGCATCATTTTAACTGTTCACATTTCATACATACAAACATTAAAGAAAAATATTCCATGTGTGTTATTCTTTTCAATTTTTTGTGGGGGTGTTACACATGGGCTGTATCCATGGGGTGGTGTTTTACCAGTTGCCAGCTGCAGCAGAACAAATGAACTGTGAGCTTTCCTCCATACTCCATGTGCCAGATGAAGGACACAAATTACATGTTTTCACTACACTTGTACATTCATCTTCACAATGAAAGACTCAACACCTTTTTACATCTTTTTACATCAAGAGCACAAGCATTCTCAAGAGCTCATACACGTAGGAATTCATGGGAAAATGCTACTTGGTAAATCAGGTAAGAATATGATGAAGAAAATAAGATCATTCTTAATTTAGGTGTATCGTAAGTGATGTATTTTAATAATGTTTGTTGTGTGATTTCAATGGTAATGAAACATGGTACAGGTTGACATTATCTATGAATAAAAAAATATTTTATGAGTGTCATGTAATCATTCATAAATATTTGCAGAGCCACATCAAAGATATCTTGAAAACCAGTCCAGATATCCTGAAAATACAGATCAAGATATCAGAGACACAAAGGAACTTCCCTCTGTCAATGTTCCCAACTCATGAACAAAATAGGGTAATAGCAGTGTTTACCTGTAAATTGACAATAACATAAAGACAATAAAACATTACCAAAAATATAAAAATTATTAACTTTATCTCACAACTCTACTCTGTGCAAAGAAGAGAAAATCACATAATTGCCAGATTCTCACAATATACCAAGCTGGAACTCCAGGATGTAGGAACTCCACGATGTTGGAACTCCACGATGTAGGAACTCCACGATGTAGGAACTCCACGTCATCTCCTAAAGGACTCAGGAAAGAGTGAGATGCATTGGCTAACTGATAACGTAAGCAATAATATATCACTGCTGTCGGAAAAAAACTTTGTATCTCCATTTTTATTGTTTTTCAGTTTTTGGCATAATTTGAAAAAGCCTGTTGGCCTTATGCGTTGTGTGTAAATTTCATGATAAATGGACCAAAAGAAATGGCCCAAAATGACTCCGAAAAACATCTGGTTCCATTGACTTATATTAAAAGTAAAGTACGTTTTTTCCTTTTCCTGTAAAGTTACCATTTTGGAGATACACGGTTTTGTTCCAACAACAGTGATATAATTAACAGGGCCATTATTTAAGTACATTCTTATTTGAGAACACTGAGCACTATGTACAGAAAGTATTATTATTATTATTATTATTATTATTATTATTATTAATAGTAGTAGTAGTACATATTTTGAAAAGATGTTTTCTCAGGTTGTAAATGAGGTTACATATGTTTAGGAAAGGACTAAAATTATTCTGAAGTATTGTGAAATATATACACATGTATAACTGTATATTTTGAATGCTTTTAAACAGGCTATCAGCTGTCGCTGTGCACAAATTGCAGCAGAGACAAAAAATGTAAGTTATATACCTCTAAAAGTATCATTTACTATTTTATAGGCAGGTTCACAGTCAGGGGTCAGGTGTGTATGTTCATGCTCACGGCAATACCGCTCACTTATTTCAGGTATCGCAGTCTCTCAGGTTTCTCAGGATAACTGCAGAAATCTGGTTATGATCGGATTATTGAGTGCAGGTAAACGCACTCACCGTTTTCTGAATCGCCTATAACCAGAGCTCTTTCAACAGGCGTCTCAGAGGGTGTCGCACTGCATGAGGCAAACCTGTTAGACACGTGAATGGGAGATGAGTGGTGCTCATGTGAGGTAGCTTTAACATAAGCTTTAGCTTTGCGACTGTGCCGCCAAGACTCCACCCATTCGCCCAGCTGTGAGGGCTCTGCTGCCGGAGTTGAGGGCGTGCTAACTCTCCCGGAGGCACCTGGAGCATCTAACAGCGAGTCTGTGCCCTGTTGACTAGCCCTGCTCTTTTCTAACTTCCGGATGCACACCTCTAACTGTATCATCTTCTCCGTCAAGCACGAAACTAACTTGAGTTTTTTACAGGTGTCTCGCGAATCCGATGAGAGAAGAAGTGACTTCCAATAGTCGGTGCTTGTAATTAATTGTGAGTAATGCTGCCTTTAAGTCCTCCTCAGAAGTTCCTACGTACGACTTTGGAGGTTGTAAGTACGACTTGATTTGTGTTCAAGTGGGTTTGTTTAGAAACAATGTTTTTGGTTTACTTTTATTTTTCTGTTATGAAAGAATCTGTTTATATACATAATATCTGTAATTCCATGTGTGGATGGTTTTAGTCTACAGTATTAATGTTGTGGCTGATGAAAAACTGAAATACAGCCAGTTCTGAAGTTTCCAGAAGCTGCTCTAAGCGTGCGCTTCCCGCATAGATGACGGCTTGGACCTCAGTACAGGTAGAATCTGCCCTTATGTTTTTTTCCAAAACACCAGTTGCCGAGCCTCACTTGTACCTGCCCTGATTCCAGTGTGATTGATGTTTACAGGGAATCAGTTGGACGCTACTAAGTCAGTTTGCTCCAGAGCAGACCCGCCCAGGTACTAGAACTCATGGAAAAAAGTTACATTAACTTGAAATTGTCAGTTGGGCCAACTGTATTTTTAAAATTTGCTTAACATTTAGTGAGTTGAATTTTTTACAGTGTGGCTTTGTACTGTGTTTTGTCTTTTTAATGGGTTGATATCACAGTGTAAAGGATCCTTATGGTTTAACAGGTGACCAATGGCTGATTTTAAATGCATTTGTTAATGGGCTCTAAAGGTTTTCTACACTAGTGGTCTTTATTGCAAATCATTAAGCCAATGTCCCTTAGAAAGCAAAACCATAAATTTTTCATTGTAATGTTTTCTAATGGTCCTTTTTCAGCAAGGAAGAGGTCAATCAGTGTCTGAAGTGTCTGTCACAGAGGTAAACCTAGCAGGAAGTTAAGTCTATGGCAGAACCACAACTGTTCTAAAGTCAGCTGAGAACCAATCACTGCTGTTTAGGTAGGGTCGTGACTGCAGAGCCACAGATGTACACCCGCAGCATCACTCCAGCAGTTTCAGGCCAGTGGGCTCAATTTAAGCCTACTTAAGGTAAAGTTTTATTCCTGTACATATGAGTATACACATAAAGCCCCATATTAAGCGTAAGTTATTTGAGCGATATGTCCACATAACCCATTAGTTTACCCAGGCCACATCAGCTGTTGTATGTGTAATATTTACCCTGTGAATTGCTATATGCATTAAAATAAAGGTTTGTTTTAGCCTAAAGCTTAAAATACAACATTAGCCCAATGCAAATTTATCACATATTTATTGGAAACCCACATAAAATGACTGAAATGTTGATAAGCATAAAATTCGATATGAAAAACCAAAACAAGTGTTGGCGCATGCACTGAATGCCACTGGCTTGAACCTGCTGGAGAGAAACTGCAGGCATGAAACTGAGGCTTTGCGGCTCTGCAGGCAGATGTTATTGGTGACATACAATAACCGTCCACCACTCAGTTTTTACTCAGCAACAGTTCTGAAAGCTTCCACTAGCTTGTTCCTGGTTTTCAAGACATATTAGTGATTAAAAATGTTAATCATCTGTTCACAGTAAAGGCAGGAATAGTAACATTCCATTTATATATCACTGACTGTGACTGAATTTCATCATAAGTAAAGTACTGAAAGTAGTAGGGTTTTATAAAAGTAACGTACAAGCCCAATTCCAAAAAGTTGGGACAGTAGGTAAAATGCAAATAAAAACAGAAAGCAGTGATTTATAAACTGTCTTTCACAGGCATTTCATTAAAACAACACAAAGGAGAGATTATTAATATTTTGCCTTATCAATAACTGAATTTTTGTAAATATAGGCTAATTCCAAATTTGATGCCTGTAACACCTTCCCAAAAAGTTGTGACAGGGGCAAGACTGGAAAGTTTGTGGAATTATTAAAACACCTCACATCTGTTTTGAAACTTTCCACAGGTAAACAGGCAACAGGTGAAGGTATTGTCACCACAAAAGCTGTGTCCGGGAACTGTCCAACAGATTAAGAACAATGTTTCTCAAAGCACAATTGCAGTGAATTTTGGGATTTCACCTACAGTCCATAACATTATCAAAACATTATCAAAAGATGTGTAAAGGGCAAAACTGAAAACCAATATGGAATGTTCCTGACTGGCACTGCATTAAAAACCAGCATGCTTCTGTAAAGAATATAACCACATAGGTTCCAGAATATTTTGAAAAACCCTTGTCAGTAAACACTGTTTGTTGCTCAACAAAATGCAAGTCATTGCTCTACAAATGCAAATTAAGACTCTAGCCATATATCAAAAACATCCACAAACACTACCAACTTCTCTGGGCTAAAGCTTATCTGAGATAAAGTGGAAAGGTTTTCTGTGGTGTGCTGTGCTCTGACGAGTCTACCTTTCAAATTGTTTTTGGAAATGGATGTCGTGTTCCACTTTCACAACTACACCAGTTGGTGTCCAAACAACTACTGAATGTTGGTAATAACAGTGGTAAACACTTAAAACATTAAATTTATAATAAGTGTATATACACAAAAAATGAAGCAAATTATGAGAAACATTGAATGTCTTGTATTTTTACTGTTTTCAAATTAATAGAGTCAAAAATGATTTGCAAATCATTGCTGTATGTTTTTATATACATTTTTCTTTCTGTCCTGGCATTTTTATTGAGCTTGTAAAAGTAAAGTAATGAGTAAGGAGATTTTCCAGGAGGTAACAAGTAAAGTAATCCCACTACAGTATGAGAGAGGTAATAAATAATTTGTAAGCAATTACTTCTTTGAGTGGCTAACCCAACACTGTTGGAAGAAGACCTGAAAATCTTATATTCATATGGGTATCCATATGTGGATCCTCTCTTCAGTTCCTCACTCTCATATTTACAGAACTTACACATTAGTTTCATAGTGATTACTGAATAATGCAAAGTAGTTACTGGATAATAAATTAATTGAATAAATGTAGATAACTCTAGCTAACAGGCTCCTCAAATAATATTCCAAGAATAACTTTAAGCTGAAATATTTACTGAAAGATTAACTGCAAAACTGCAATGTAGAAGCCTTTGCCAGTGAGACAATTAGTTTTGAATTAATTATACAGACTGCTAGACAGTATAGAATGGGTCTACGACACCAGATTACTTTTTATTATATACTTACTTCTGAAGAAGGGTTATATTTGTATTTGAACCTGACCAGTGAACAATACTGTACATAGTCCCTGACCTTATTGATAATATGACTCACATGTTAAAGGCTATGGCCAGACACTGTGATGCTTTCCAGATGCAGAACTTTGAGGCTGACAGTGACTGGAATCTTTCTTTCATTTTAGATATAAATGTGGTTCCTGAGGTGTGGCCATTTTAAAAACCTTATTACCATGTGTATTTATGATCAGAGTCAAGGCGCATACACAGGTGCAGGTAAGCAAAAAGCAAGAAGCAATTTGAGGTTCCTCCATGTTTAAATGAAGATTCTAGAGTGTAACTACTTTCTAGTAGTTTTTATTATATGGCCTTATCTGTATACTTATGATCAATTTAATGGGAAGGTCTTTTTATGTGGCCTTAAATGTACAGAAATGAATTGCATGTTCTGAAAAAACTATGTACTTCTGTAAGACTAAGTTTATTTACACTGATCAGGCATAACATTATGACAATCTCCTTGTTTCTACCCTTATTGTCCATTTTATCAGCTCCACTTACTACATAGGTGCACTTTGTAGTTCTACAATTACAGACTGAAGTCCATCTGTTTCTCTGCATATTTTGTTAGCCCACTTTTACCCTGTTCTTCAGTGGTCAGGACCCCCATGGACCCTCACAGAGCAGGTACTATTTGGGTGGTGGATCATTCTCAGCACTGCAGTAACACTGATGTGGTGGTGGTGGTGTGTTAGCGTGTGTTGCGCTGGTATGAGTGGATCAGACACAGCAGTACTGCTGGAGTTTTTAAACACTGTGTCCACTCCCTGTCCACTCTATTAGACACTCCTACCTTGTCAGTCCACCTTGTAGATGTAAAGTCAGAGACGATTGCTCATCTGCTGCTGCACAGTTTGTGTTGATCATCCTCTAGTCCTTCATCAGTGGTCACAGAACACTGTTGGCTGGATATTTTTGGTTGGTGGACTATTCTCAGTCCAGCAGTGACACTGAGGTGTTTAAAAACTCCAGCAGCACTGCATATGAAAATAGTTTTTTTGTTTCCTAATGATATCACCTAAAGATAACAACACAAGGAATAGCAAAAGCCCTAAAACTGAACCTTGTGGAACTATTACATTAAACTGAATCAAACCTATTTTACATTGAGCCAGCATTAGTAAAACATTTGTAGAACGTGGTGCAAGATGGTACACTCCAGATTGTAGCCCCCAAATTAATGTTGCTACAATATTGTTTTCAGCCATAAATGAATTTGAATCAATTTAATTTGTTCTTCCAGATGAAAATTTAGTTTTTTCCACATTATAAGATATTGTTGGCTTTTTCAGTTTCCATTTGCGCCACTGCTGAACAGAATGTCTCCATTGCTTTGTCCTGCCTTTCTCTCTTACTTTAGAGTTAACTTGGACTTTAAATAATAACATTAAAATTTTAAACTATGTCACTGAAAAAAAACATGCTTTACCAGGCAATCTTCAAAAAGTTCTTATTCTTTCTCACTAAGGTACAGTATAAGGCTGCAGATAACATCTCATTTTAGTGCTTTTTGAACAAATTAATATTGTGTCAATACTGAATATCATTCATACACAATGAACTGTCAGAGCAAGCATGTTTGCAAGGAGCAGTGATTTTTGTGCTAAAAAATCTTTACTGCTTTAAATCTGAGGAATGCTAAAATTAAACCTGTTCCGTGGTGTTTGGAGCTGTAGCTCCCTAACTAAACTAATGCTAGCTGGCTCCTTTCTCCTAGCTAACTTAGGTTAGCTAAAGATCCAAACACCCTTGTACAGGTTCAGTTCGACTAACTGGTGCTCTGCTATCACTAGTATAATACTAGTATAATACTAGCACAGTACTAGTATCTTATACCAGCAAAAGCATAGCTGACTGATTGGTGTTGGAGGGAGAGAAAGCCAAAATTGAACCTGGTCTGTAGTGTTTTAAGCTGTAGCCTGGTAGGCTGAGTCCACATGAGTGTATGGTGCCTCCCACGGCAGTAAAGGTTCCAGCAAACTAATGCTTAAAAAGACCCCTTTAGAGGACAAAGACTCATATTCAAGAGTGCAAATTTGAATGTCTGGTGTTAAACTGACAGAACAATTCAAAATAGAATTGTTTTGTGGTGCTTTGAGCGGTACCCTGCTGGGCGACACTACTGCTAGTGTAGTTGGCCAGCTAAAGGTGAAACCGTGCAACCCACAGCATTACAGGTTTCAGTAACTGATGCTCAAATAACACCTGTTTAGACGATAAAGAATGCGAGAGCAGATTCTTTATGCTCTAAACAGAGTGACTGGTGTGACAGACAGAATGTTCTGTAGTACATGTATGCAGGCATTAGGCTATAAGCAGTTAGCCACTTTTTTGTGTAGTGTAGTTTTCTTGAGTATTTCCTGGTTCTGATTTAGCTGCTCAGCAGATGGAAAAAGAAATCACCCAGAGCACCCAGAGGAAATAAATGTTCTAAATGAGATCTCTTCTTGATCTCAGTTCAGTTTGAAATCAGAGTGAGACTTAGGCTATTTTCTCCTGTTTCTGAAATTTGGCTCCTGTGAAATAACCCTCAGATTTTCTCACTTTGATCAAAATGTTGTCACACACAAGGTTTAACTCTTTTGTATCTGACTCATCTCACTTTAGTCTTGGCTGCATAATATTTCCACAAGAAAAAGTGTGAGTTTACATCTACAAGGTGGACTGACAAGGTAGGAGTGTCTAATAGAGTGGACAGTGAGTGGACACAGTGTTTAAAAACTCTAGCAGTACTGCTGTGTCTGATCCACCACCCAAATAGTACCTGCTCTGTGAGGGTCCATGGGGGTTCTGACCACTGAAGAACAGGGTAAAAGGGGGCTAACAAAGTATGCAGAGAAACAGATGGACTACAGTCTGTAATTGTAGAACTACAAAGTGTACCTAAGTGGAACTGATAAAATGGACAATGTGCATAGAAACAAGGAGGTGGTCATAATGTATACTGAAATGTATAACATTTGTATATAATTAAGTTTTTGCTTAAGAAATTCTAGTTCTCACTGAATCTTAATATTACAATGTAGAAATTATGACAGTTAATTTAATGTATTTAACTTTACCACAAAGTTCAATGTTTTTGCAGTGTACATATAATATCAGACTATTCATTATTTAGTGTGTTCACCCTGTCTCTTTATTACAGCTTCCATTATTACTTGTTTTCTGGTTTTCTGTGGAGATATTTTCCATGCTTCTTGTAAACATAATTAAAGCCCAGTTCTAGAAGTTGTTTGCATTTTCTGCTTCTCATGATCCAAGTAATCCCATACACATCTGGGCCTTTGGTTGTTCAATCTAGAACACAAACAGCAGCGTCTTTACTTGATTTGCAAATTTTCCTCTTTTTTGTCTATTTGCTTTTCTAACTAATGGCTTCTTGACAACTACACAGCCTTTCAGATGGCATCAAGTTATCTTCTTACAATTAAAGGATAGAGAAGAAATACCTCTGGTGTTTTTTTCAGATCTGAGCTTGATTGTCTCCTATCTTTTGAAGATTAAAGCTTTAAATATTGTTTGACGGTGATAGTTTTGGTGGTCTACTAAGGTCTTCCGGTGGCCAGGAGTCCCAAAATCTCTGTATTTTTTAATAATGTTTTTATTTAATTTCTTTTATATATTATATTTTATATATTCTAAACAGGTTAATCTTGAGATTCGCTAAAACTACATTTTCACACATTTTTGAAAAACCAATCACATACAGTGGACCCCCAAAAGCATATAGATATTTGTGCTAAAAAGTTTTTCTTCTGAAATATCAATTTGTTAAACATTTTATGAAGATGCCTAAGAAACTGAGAAAAGTGTTCCAGTGGTTTAAGTATTATGGACCCACTGTACGCTGTCAAATTTAGCTTAGAGGTAGTAATGTTTTTTGCTGAGAATGCCCAGTGGCTGGGTTAGGGTTAGGGTTAGACAAGGCTAAACAAGGCATTGTCATAGTGTGCACTGTATACACCTAACTAGGGAATGATATCATGTTTTCAGTGCCACACTGTGTTATTGGTTTAATTGTGCTCTACTGTAATCAGTAATAGCAATAAACACTGTTTTTTGTTGCAATAAGTGTATTCATTGGTTGTTTTAACTTAATATTGAATTCAAATATTTTGGGATTTCTGCAGGTAAAACAGTTCATGTGACTGTAAACTGATGTGAAAAAAACTCATTAGGACACAAGTACGGTTATTGGAGCGTAGAAATCTATAACGTTTACGAGTTTTCACTGTGGAGGATTTAGGGATTAGGGAGTAGGGATCATCATTTCAGAAAGACGGTCTCCCTATGTAGGCACGTTGTGTGGGCGGAGCTTAAAACAGCAAGCGTGGACCCCCTTAGTTAAAGCCCCGCGCATGCGTACTCACTGAAGTTTCGGACTTGGTCTGTTACACAACGCGAGTTTCTCCATTTCTGCCGCAGCTGTGCGCCGGCGTTTTACTCCCATACGGTTTTAAACTTGTTTTTAGTAAACAATAGTAGTGGAAATGACCGGGGACCATTCCCACAACGATTCTCAGGTAAAGTTTTCTAAATGTCCTTTGTATTTTTGGCTTAGTAGAGCATCTGCTTTTCAAACTGCCGCTGCTTTAACCAGGAGTGCTAAGCTAACAGGCTACCTCGGCTACTAGTCGGTTTGAGCACAAAAAGGGTTAGATTTCGATGTTCATTTGGATATTATACACTGATTTAGTAAAGTATTCCGCAGTATATTGTACATTCACTTTAAGCGTTTGTTAAACCTATTGTTTTTGACTATTTGGCTAACTCCGCTAACATGCTAGTTAGCGAACTGTCCGGTTGTAAGTTTAAAGTTAGCGAGCTGCTGTTATTGCGGTCTAACTTGCTTTACCCTTTTATTTCACAGATTAACTCTGGACCCAAATATGGTGGTAAGTGTTGGTTGATATACCTCAACAACACCAGTAATTTCTGTATGTTTGTCTCTCCGTTAGTTAGTGAGGACAGAAATGGCGTCCAGAGACTAAGTCCCCTCTCCCTGTGACAGCCGCCTATTGTTCACATTTAGGCCTCAGAAACAAAGATTATTTTCTCTTTTTACTAAAGTGGGCCTCGGATTTTGGCAAATAAAGAGATTGTTTGTATAAAAACTCTGTTAAAATTATGAAAAGGTGGCTGGCCTGGTGTTACAGTGGTTTTGAAAGTCGAGGTTTGGGGGTTAAGGACTTAGTCTCTGCGCCATTTTCTTTTTCTCCAGCGGTCTGAATGTAACATTAAGATGGACATGATATGGAGGAGCAACACAAGCGGCGGATCTGTCCTCATTATCCTGAAGAGGATATGTCGATATGCTGAGGTCCTTCACTTAAAATGATCTTAGATCAGCACTAGTTGCCTAAAGCCCGTTTTCTCCCCAAAGAAGGACCCTAACTCTTCTGATGCGGATTAGCCTATTTATGATGAATGTTCTATTCTAAAGACTGTAGGATTAAACAGTAAACTATGAAAAAGAGATGTGAGTTAGACAGGAGATTTTACAGCAAAGCTTGGCGTTGTTGCCGTTTTAAATACAAGGAGCGTTTTAGATATAGACAAGTTACAACAAGCATTTCTACAGCAGTTGTGGGAAATGTATATTTTTAATTTCCCGTAAGACACTAATGACTAATGTTTTGTTTTAGCTTCTTTTAGCTGTTTGAAGCTTTTAAACCTTTTGATCTTTGGATAATTTAAGTAGAAATCTACACAAAAGTACTGGCTTTTAAATTTAATAACACGTTTACACAATCATTTCAGTTGTTATTCCATGTTTTATATAATACTAATTCTGCATAATGCATAATTCTACTTGCTCCTTATTCCTGCATTTTACCATTGCCGTTTTGCTCAGTACTCAACAAAGCAGTTTTAATAATGAAAAGATTCATTATAACTTTACAAACCAAAGTGACAGTAATGTTTGAAGTTAGTGTGGTTAGGATAAGTGTAGTCTGATACTCTGAGAGAGAAAATGCCTGATTTAGCTGGTACACCTCCATACACACACTTAAGAGTTAAATCCATGTGTGTACATAAAAGATCATTGAAGTGCCAAATTGCATTAACATGGAAGTGTTTATATGCCACTACTTAAGTCTCAGATACGAGTTAATGTCTGAACCAATTCTTTTTCAAAATTGTACTTCTTTTAAAGAAACTAAACTAAATTAGTCCTCTGGTGAGGTTGTAATTTTTGACAATTATACTGTCTGGTGTATTCATTGTAAACTGTAACCATATGAGGTGTGTGTGTGTTCTACGTCACCTGCAGTTTACTGGTGGAATGAGGAAGTATGCAGGTTTTTACACAGTAAACTCATGTTCTCACCTCATGTTCTAATACTTTATTACCAACCTTAACACTAACAGCCATAAATAAATGGCAGAGCATATTTTTAAAAGGATACTTGCTTTAACCATGTAATGAAGATGGATTTCTTCTTAGAGCGTTTAGAACAAAAGCACAATCTATATTTTGAACTTCTACTTAATATCGTTGCTTTGCATGTTGTAATAGAAAGTGTATAAAATTCTTAGGAATTCTGGGGGGAAACGCCTGTCCTCAAATACTATAGCAGATAGTCATAAGTAGATTAGGTCTGCAGATGCACGCTTAACATCCATAACTGCTTCCCACTGCATACATCACAAAATAAAGTTAATAATTCTGTATATTAGAATGTATAATAGAATGTGTTTATTTCACAAGCATATCCAGTATAGTATGTAAAGGTTGGGAGGCAGATATTGGTGTTTGCGAAAACAATGCTGAAACAGTAGAGGGCGCTGTCCACAAACTTCTGTCCTCCACATGGCCATGTGTTTGGTTGAAGGGCAAAACTTACATGCTGAAAAATTTAGTTAAACTCGTCACACAGGCTTTCTCTGGGCCTGTTGGGTTAGAAGTAAATAAAATTGTGATGTCCCAGCATGCTGAGTGCTGTGTTGTTGAGGGACAGTGTAGTTACATTTAGTAGACTGATTAGATTGATTCAGGGGATGATTGTATTGGCACATGCGAAGAATTACTTGTGGTACAATAGAAATAGCATATTATAGGCTGATATAGCAAGACTAGTAGAGTCAACAGTATTAAGTAGTGATTTGTGTTACCTGCCATCTATAGTTAAGCTGTATTTGGGTTTAGTTTCTGTTAGGCCTCTTCTCTTTTGGAGCAGCCATATGTAACATCAGAATTGTGATGCTGATGGATGCTTATTGGTGGTTTGATTGTAAGATATGTTTGTTTTGCATGATTTTTCACTCTGCTTTTCATCTCCATGACAGTGGCTCATGCGTGCAGATGGTAGAATGGGGTGTAATGGGTGCACCTGGGGCATGTGGAAACACCTCAAACACGCACACATTTTAAAGCTGCAGTTTCAGTGTAATCCGATCCACTCTGTACACTTTTCCCAAATTGGTAGGCTCCTTGGTTGGACCCTGCGCAGAAAGGGTCCTCTGTAAACACACACTCTACTGCTGTGGCCTGCTCAAGAACTGAACACCTCTACATTCTGAGCAGTAAAGTGCCAAAGTCTAGATGATGTGTCTAACATGGCACCTGGAAATGTGCAGCTTTTATGTATGTGAGTCGACATTATGTGAGCTTTACTCTGAAGTTGCAAAAATACTGCAGTGTGAAGATTTGATTTTTCCTGTAACTTATTTTTTTCTGCAACATTGTATTTAAAGCCTAAATTGTCACTTATTACTGAGACTCGATGGTGTAGGCGTAAAGGGAGGTGTTAAATTAGAAAACAAATTTCTAATTTAAAAGTTGGTGCCAGTTTGTCTGTTCTCTCTAGCTTTGCCTGAATTGTAGTTAAAGCATTTATACAGACATTCTGAATCTGGCAGTTGGGATGTGTGCTGCACTGTTGAAGGAATATTACTGCTAGGTGTTTACTGTCTCTTCAGTGTGCCGCATCATTTTTTAAATTTTCTTCTTGGCAGATTCTCATAAACACAAAGATAAGTATAAGGACAAAGAACACAAACACAAGGACCACAAGAAAGATAAAGAACGTGAGAAATCAAAGTACAGCAACAGGTATGACTCACTTCTTCTTTTCACCCACAGTCTGTTTCTGCACCCTGCTATTGCACTGTGTGTGTGTGTGTGTGGTGTGTGTGTGTGTGTGTGTGTGGTGTGTGTGTGTGTGTGTATGGTTGATTTTATGGCCTATTTTATGGCCTGGCTGTCCTGATGTGGACTCTAGCCTGATGTTTTGATAAGCAGGGTGTGGTCTACAGAGCCACAGGAAGGAATTTTGGCTTTATGCAGCTTTCTCCATAAACATCATAAACACAACTGCTTCCTGCTTTGTTCTGAACTGCTTAACTGTGCTGTGTTTTCTTGCACTTTTGCAGTGAGCACAAGGACTCCTCAGATAAAAAACACAGAGATAAAGAGAAAGTGAAGCACAAAGATGGATCCTCAGACAAACAGAAGGACAAATATAAAGAGAAGAGGAAGGAGGAGAGGGTGAATATTTTTTTTTTATCTTATTTGCAACATTTAGAGCACTCTGAATAACAGCTGTTCCACTAAGTCTATAATGAAAACATTGTGGAACAGAGCTTGTGCTTGTTTCTTTATTCCTCACTTTATTTATATGTATTCTTCTCTTAAAGTCTTTTGATGGGGAGTCGATTAGAGAGAGAGAGAATGGCTTTGCTAGGTGAGTAAGCAAAACAGTTTGTGACGGATGATGCAAGTGTAAGGACACACTTTTTTTCATCTAATCTCTGTCTCTTCAGACTCGTACTCTGTTCTTTAGAACTAACAGAAAAAGTAACAATTTGTCATGTAATCTTACTCCATTTCCTTTATCTTTTTATCTTTATTTTTTCCAGTTGTGTGTCCCCACCCTAACCCTTTTTGTCTACAGATGGTTGATCATTTGATAGTTGATAACTTTTTTTGCTCTGTTCCTTCACAGCCCTCCTCACATAAAGTCTGAGCCAGAAAATGAAGAATTATATCACTCACCCAAACACAAGAAGTCCCTGAAAAGAGAGCACGATGATGATGAGTGAGTGACCAGCACAGACTCTTTACACTTCACTTTGTTCTCATGCCAAAAAAGTTCAAATTCTGTTAATGTCACTTTGTCTGTAGTGTGAAACAGCGGCCTCTAAAAGTGGCCAAAAAGTTTGACTTTGCTGGAGATGAGAAATTCCAACTTTTTTTCCCCCATAATCTTTCAGTGATGAGTTCAAGCCCAAAAAAATAAAAACTGAGAATGATAAAGGTGAGAAGAAGGTGAAGAAAAGGAAACAGGAGGAAGAGGTATGAGCATAGGTTTATCCCTTTAACGACTTAAGTTTCAGTCAGTTTTTATTTTAAGCATTAAATACTGAACCTGCAACTCTATAACAGGACATAAAACCCAAAAAGAAGACTAAAGACAAGAAAGGGGAAGTGGGAACAGATGGCAAAAAGAAAGCAAAGAAGGAGCCAGAGGAGAAATGGAAATGGTTAGTTTTTGTTCTTTTTCCTCCAATTATGGGCTGTCTACCAAACTGTGTATTGTAAATCAAAAAGACATTTCAGCTGTTTGATGTCTTGATGTTGTTGTGTATGTGTGTGGGTGTTTTTTTTTTTTTTAAACAGTATCAGGTTTTTAAGTAGTCTATGGTTTTTTTTTTGTTTAAGATATGCTTTTATTTGTTCTTCTCCATGTGTGTTGTAATGGCTGTTAGGTGGGAAGAGGAGAGGTATACAGATGGAGTGAAATGGAAGTTTTTGGAACATAAAGGACCTGTGTTTGCTCCACCGTATGACCCTCTTCCCAGCAACGTCAAGTTCTATTATGATGGTAAGACCTTGAAGCTTCTGTGCCGTTTTTGGGGTGTGGTGTTCATGAATACAGTGCTGACTGGCGATCTGCCTTTTGCTCAGCTGGATTTCAGCTTGGTTTGAAATGTCTCTGAATTGGACTCTGTAGGCAGTCTTTCTGTGCCTTCACTAGTTTTTTCACTATTCTGTGTGTGAATTATTATTTTTTTTTTTTTGTGTGTCTGTTTCTTGCTTTGTGGCTCTATGCAGGAAAACCCATGAAACTTAGGCCAGAGGCAGAAGAAGTAGCAACCTTCTTTGCTAAAATGTTGGACCACGAATACACTACCAAGGACGTATTCCGGAAAAACTTCTTCAAAGACTGGAGGAAGGTAACACTAAGTTCTGTGGGTTTTAAATGGTATCAATTAGAAACCAAGGAAAAAATGTAGTGTTCTTGGGAAAGAGGACTATTTAATGTCTCTATTTTTCCTTCTAGGAAATGACTGCAGAAGAGAAGGCAAAGATCACAGACTTGAACAAGTGTAACTTTAGTGAGATGAATGAATATTTTAAAGCTCAGTCAGAGGCCAGGAAAGCCATGACTAAAGAGGAGAAACAGGTATGTTGAGTAATATCAATATGACCCTCTGTCGCTATGGGTGGTTGTGTTTTATTTATTCACTGATTATTTATTTTCCCCATAGTATATTATTGATAAGGGAGAGTGCAACCTTGTCTAACCTTGTCTATCTGTTTGTCTCCATTTCTTTAGAAAATCAAAGAGGAAAATGAGCGTCTCCTGCTAGAGTATGGCTTCTGTGTAATGGACAATCACCGTGAGAGAATCGCCAACTTTCGTATTGAGCCACCTGGCCTGTTCCGTGGCCGAGGAGACCATCCAAAAATGGGCATGTTAAAACGTCGTATCCGGCCAGAGGACATCATCATCAATTGCAGCAAGTGCGGCCATATTTAAATACCCTACACACTGACCAGTCACATTTGAATGCTGGGCTGGTGTGAACAGCCCATGTGTGAGCTTTGGAGTCTCTAGAACAGGGGTGCACAACTCTGGTTCACTCCAATCACTGAACTGTGCTGAACGCTGACCCTCCAGGACTGGAGTTGTATTCTATAGTCAACATTTAATGAAATGGTGTGGATTGTTATGAAATTGTAGTTATTGTATGAATTGTTGTAATTTGTATCGTAATTAAGTGTTGGAGGGCCTTTAACAAGTACAGTAAGGCTTTCTTTGTTAGTGTCCTAGGTAAGCTGAATTTCTGTAATATACCAAATGTACATCCTCATTGCAATCTAGCTTTTTTTGTGTCTTAGGGACTCTGAGCATCCTAAACCTCCTCCAGGGACCAAGTGGAAAGAGGTGCGACACGACAACAAGGTGACATGGCTGGTATCCTGGACTGAGAACATCCAGGGTGCCATCAAGTACATCATGCTGAACCCCAGCTCCAGGATCAAGGTGCAAATAATAATGAGTCTGGTCTTCATACCTGATAAAATGCACATGCTGCATCCACACATTTCTCTGTAGCCCCTAAGTTGTTGGATTCATCTAGCAGTATTTTATACGGTATAAAGTGTATTAAAGTAAAATTAATTAAATGTTTATGCTGGACCTTGCAGGGAGAGAAGGACTGGCAGAAATATGAGACAGCTCGGCGGCTAAAGAAGTGTGTGGACCGTCTGCGGGCTCAGTACAGAGAGGACTGGAAGTCTAAGGAAATGAGGATCAGGCAGAGAGCCGTGGCCCTTTACTTCATCGACAAGGTTTCTCGCTGTTACATGTTATAACTCTGTTCATGTCATTGTTTAATGCAGAGGCATTGCACATGTAGGATGCCTTTGAAATATGGTGTGTGTGTGTTCTGTGTGTGGATTTTAAGGAGGGCTGTACCAGAGGCCATATTGAAGTAGCCATAATTTCCAAGAACATATCAAGATTCTGCTTATTTACACATGTTACATAACCACACGTAATCATGGCCACACGATGGGGTGTGTGTGTGTGTGTTTATGTATGTAGCTGGCTCTGAGAGCAGGAAACGAGAAAGAGGAAGGAGAAACAGCAGATACAGTGGGCTGCTGCTCGCTGAGAGTGGAGCATCTCAGTCTGTACCCGGAGAAAGATGGCCAAGAATATGTGGTGGAATTTGACTTTCTGGGAAAAGATTCGATCCGCTATTACAATAAAGTCCCTGTGGAGAAGAGGGTAAGCTGGATGTTACCTGATGCTAACTTCATGGTTCATGCAAAAGTGCCTTCATGCACAGTGTCTCAGTATTTATGTATTTTTTTTCTGTTTAAGTTCAGTCTGATTATTGCATGTCCTCAGGTTTTTAAGAATCTGCAACTCTTCATGGAGAACAAGCAGCCGGAGGATGACCTGTTTGACCGCCTAAATGTATGTATGCTTTAAATTATGACTTTAATCCCACCTCTCCCTTTTACAGAAATCTCTTCCTAAAAGATTGGTTCACCAAAAACACATCTATGGTATTTGGCAGGAAGCAGTTCTATTAAATCATGTTACAGAGGTAGGCACATGTAGCATTAAGACACGGGCCCAGGTGGGAAGAAAAGCGGCTGTTTTTCAGAGGTCAGATTTATCCCATTTCCCCTTACCCCAAACACAGTCTTTAGTGCTTTAGTGCAGCTGTTTAATTTCAGTAGAAAAGTGTTTGGTTGGCAGACATCCATTAGTAGTAGTAGTTTTGTTAATCTTTTTATAAACTGTTGCTTTAAAATACTGATGCCACATCTCTTCACCTCTGCCCCAATACGTCAGACCACCATTCTCAACAAGCATCTTCAGGAGTTGATGGATGGCTTGACTGCTAAAGTGTTCCGTACCTACAATGCGTCAATTACACTGCAGCAGCAACTGAAAGAGCTGACCAACGGTAAGCCTCCTTTAAAACCTCCTGGGTTCTAAGGCTACTGAGTCTTAACTGCAGATTAAAATGTTTGAAATTCCCTAACTCTCTCTTAACAATTGTCCTTGTTTACAGCGGAAGACAATGTCTCTGCCAAGATCCTCTCTTACAACCGGGCCAACAGAGCCGTAGCCATCCTGTGTAACCACCAGAGGGCGCCACCCAAGACTTTTGAGAAGTCCATGCAGAATTTACAAACAAAGGTCTGGGATGTTTTATCAGTACCTTAAGTTGATTGCTTGCACTGCTTTCTGTGCACTTGAGGTTTTGACTGCTATTCTGACATGTCTTCTGCCATGCCCATCAAAACCAGATTGACGCCAAGAAGGAGCAGCTTGCTGATGCTAAAAGAGAACTGAAGAGTGCCAAGGCTGATGCCAAAATACGCAGAGATGAGAAATCCAAGAAGTGAGTATGAAAATGTTTGCCTGGAGGGAGCCCAGTGGAATTTGGCTTAATCAACTATTTTTTGGTGGCTGCGTATTGTAGAGTTGTCTGAGTGTGTATTGTAATGTTGAACTTAGAGCTGTGGAGACAAAGAAGAAAGCGGTGCAGAGGATAGAGGAGCAGTTGATGAAGCTGGAGGTGCAGGCCACAGACCGTGAGGAGAATAAACAGATTGCCCTCGGCACCTCCAAACTAAACTACCTGGATCCACGCATCTCTGTAGCCTGGTCAGTACCTGTATGCTAATGTTTTATGTTTTACTTTGAGGTAAGCTACCCCTTTTTAAAAAAAAAAGAATCTACTATCTATTAACTACATTAGTGCTGATTGTATTGGATTTGTCACTCAGGTGCAAGAAGTGGGGTGTCCCTGTTGAGAAAATCTACAACAAAACTCAGCGTGAGAAGTTTGCATGGGCAATCGACATGGCGGATGAGGACTTTGAATTTTAAATTGCTCCTGTTTTTTTTAAACCCTCTTCCCCTTATGTTTTCATTTTATTCTTATTTTATTATTATTATTATTATTATTATTATTATTATTATTATTTTGTAAAGTACTTTTAGTATATGTGATTCAGTAGGTGAAGAACCTGACAAGGGAATGGATGATGTTAAACAAAAGACTTGATCAGATGGATCAGGGTGGAGTTTGTCCAGAACTTTTGGCTGAATTTTTTTTTTTTGTGGAAGGGGTGGGTCAGTTGGTTGTCTGTCCTTTGCAGAAGGCTGTTAGTGGCTCAATCTGACCACATTTTCCACTGGTTTTTTCCCTGCCCTTTGGGCACAACTGCACGTGGATGTCTTAATTAATGAAATCTGTGGTTTCTTAGAGCTACTGTGTTTGACAGCCAGTTGCTTGTGTAATATTTTTTTTATTCTGTCTATTTTAGACTCGTTTTATTAATATTCTGTATTTTAAGAAAGGAAAAAAAATCAAATTCCTTAAGTACACCCATGGGCCTTTTTATGAAATGAATATGTACTTACTGTGAGAGTGAAGAATTGACAATGAAATGCTGTGTGAGTGAACGTGACAAATGTTCATTTACCTTTTTAGTTTTTATTTTTTAATTTATTTATTTTTTTTTTTTTAACTGGATTTGGATCGGTGTGTGGGGAGTATCCATACCACAATGTAGGAGAGTTGGAAGATCCAGTACAACTTTGACAATATTAAGCAAAGCAGAAAGCGTGTGCATGTCTGTAAGTGTGTGTGTGTGTGTGTGTGTGTGTGTGTGTGTGTGTGTGTGTGTGTGTGTGTGTGTGTGTGTGTGTGTTTTCCTAAAAACAGCTATCAGGGACTTGTCAGTGTAAATGTGAATTTTTTATTTTTTTTTCCCTTTTACATTTCCAGTATCCTGCAACTTTTTCTGCACAGCTTTGAGTGTCCATCTGTTTTTAACTTGACTTCAGTGAGGAAAAACTCCCTTATCTGTTACTTGAAGATCACTAATGTATGGGTTTGAGGTTAGGCGAAAGGAGATATATTTTTCCTTCTGAAAAGGTATGTGAGGGATATCAACTTTGCCAAAAATAGAAAAGAAAAAAAAAATCAATAACCATTTATGATTGTAGGCGGTTCTATTTTTTAACTATGTAAAGACAAAGGACAAATATTTTAACATGGGTTTTAATGTGAATTCTATTAATTCTATTGCTCTCTGTACCATCATGGTTTTGAAGATGTAAAATTGAAAGCATCCATGTAACTTCACGTCATGGCCTCCAATCATGGTTTATTTTGTTTTAATTTCTCTTCTCATTGTAGGTTATTTAAGAATAAAAACCCTACAACAATACATCCTGTTGGTTTGAATTTGAATTTACACTCAACAATTCTACACTTCAGTCTAAATTGCTCAGGCACATTTCTGGAAAACTTAAACACAAAAAACATAATTTACCAAGGCAAAGTACTGAAGAAATAATTGTAGTTTTACCAAAAAAAAAAAAAAGCATAAATCCCATTCATCTTCATTACATGTAGTAGTAGCTCTAACCAGGCAGCGAGGAAAGGCACACTTTTTTCCCACCCATTTAAGAGTGCTTGTGTTTAGTTTTACAATACCTGCCCACTTGTTTTGTTGGTTTTAAATGTAGATTTTAGTTTTAGTACCATCTGTTAGAAAGGATTCAAATGTGCCATATTATTGAGGCCCTATTTATTCATTCTTAGTTCTGACTGGTGTGTGAACAATTTTGTTTCTTTGTATTTACACCTGAAGAACTGTCATTGAATTCAGTTTCATGATTTTGGTTATTTGATGCTAGTGCTTTTTTAAATGAGCGCAGTGTATAACATGATTTATTTAGTGTAGAGTTTTGCACTAAAAGTTTAACAAATCTGCAATGTGTCAGCTGTTTTGGGAAATCAATGTTGGTAGCTGATAAAATGGTTACAGCTGTCTGGCTCATATACTTATAGTGTGCAAGTGGTTGAGAAAAACACAGTATGAATTATTGATTTTTCAATCCGTGTCATAAGTGTGGCCATGTAAATTCCCTGTACAGGCTGGTGAACGACCATCAAATGTGTGTGTAATGAATTCTACATGTATATTAATAATAATAATAATAATAATAATATTGCAGATGAAAGGCTTGTGTGAAATTCTGTTACCAGAATCCTCTGAAATGAGAGCCAGTTTGAAAGAGTGCAGGAAGAGGAGCTATTATGTTTGCGTTGGATGCAGCAGCTGAGTGAGGCGATAAGCAGGCTGAGATTTTTAGTGCACCCTGAACTCTTCTGAGCTGAGGAAGTATTCTGGTCATTCACACTGACTGTGTAAATGCTTTAGTCTGCAGTTGTGTTATTCAGTAAGAAATGAAAATAGATGTTAAAAGGTTTCCCCTTTAAAAGGCTATATTCAGATTACCAGGTTACAGTGACACAAATCTATTTTTTTACCTTAATGACATCAGATGTTTTCAAATCTGTGCCACTTTGATATGTAGGCCTAGATCAGATACATATCTGATTTGTGGCCATGACACCTTAATACCACATATTACCATTATCATTCAGTGCTGGCAGTGAGTTTCTTGAACTTCCTGCCAGTAAACACTGCAGAAGCATTCATATACAGTACTGTGCAAAAGTCAGAGACCAAACCTCACTTAATTTCCACACCAAATGTCAAAGGAGAATAAGTGAAAAAATTTGATTTAAAAAAATATATATATAAAATACAGAGAAAATAAGACTATTAACAACTGTGCGTGACCTAGTAAACCACCAAAAATGTCACCATCAGGTAAACTACTTAAAACTTTACAGTACTAGAAAATCAAGCTCCTGTGTAGCTGCCAAGAAGCCCTTACTGAGAAAACTGACAAAAAAGAACAAATTTGCAAATCAATCAAGCAAACAAGCTGCTGGTGTTCACAAAACAATGGACTGGCCACCCTAGGCCCCAGATCTCAACATTATTAAAAGTGGCTGGGATTACATGCATTAGGAGAAGCAGAAAATACTAGAAGCCTCTGCTGAACTTGTACTTAATGGCAATTTTAACTCAAAATTAAATAAATGAAGAATGGTCTCTGACTTTTACACAGTACATATCTGACATTTTTCAGCCCTTTCCCCTAATCATGAACAGCAGGTAACCCTGAGCTGATCAGAACTAATAATCTTTCCAATGAAGGCTTATGCTAGACATTCATGCATATCACATGAATCCTAACCAAGACAGAAGGCAAGAATCAAGATCAGATCCAAGTGAAAAATCTGAATTGAGCAGTAAGGCTTGTAATGTAAATGTAGCCTTAGAGTGATTTGATCATACGGAAGGAGTTGGAGACATGACTAAAGAAATGATCCTCCAATCACTTTATTCCATTTATCACTGAAAGACTTTAATGTATAGAAAGGGTAACACTACAGTGTAATTGTGTTCTTCAGACAGACCAGTACACTGGAAATTAAAGTAAATGAATATAATACTGCAAGTCCAGATTTCTGATATTATGTTCAGAAGTTATCAGGTGGAATACAAATGCAAATAATATGGGATCAAAAGCACCTTTGTTAACTTTGGATTTTCTTAAATTTAGCAGCATATCTGTGATGCATAATATGTGAATACCAAAGACCAACTTCATCTATGAACAGGGACTATCCAGTTAGCTTTGTTTTGGCTATGAGAATTCCACATTCTGACTGTAAACTCACTGTACAGTTTTCAAGCTCCTTCCATTATAAATTAACAAATCTTTTTCATTACTTACTTTTAGATTTTCACATTATAATAATTTGTTTTTGCAAAAAAATGATCAATTTCCTCCAAAAGTATAGCAGCAGTTCTACTGGGATTTATAACCCCACTTTGTACACACAACTTTACAACACAGTTGCTGAGAGCTGGTTGGGGAGTCATTTGAGTAAAAGGTGATGTTTAAGGCAATGTTACCAGGTCCATCAAATCTGTGCAAACACCACTAAAGCAAGTAAGAGTGAATATTTTGTAACTGCTAATGAAAATTGAGCCGCTCTTAAATTCTTATTTAATCTGGACATACAGAAGGAACAATAAAGCAGATAATGTAAAACTCAAGGCAATGCAGAAGTGCTGATTATTTGACATAGTACAAAACATCACAACGTCCCACTGACACACACATTTGTCCAGTCTTGAACACCCTCAGTAGTGCAGCGACAACCATTTACATTATAGATTCCTACATCGTTTTTGACCATTACGGAATGACATCTGGCCTACGTTGGAGCTGCTCCTTCATAGACTACAATCTGATCCGCTGTCTGTTATCAACACGCCAACATTCATCAGGGATCGCATCCTTCATGTGAAGTTTTTCACACTTTCAGCAGCTCCCCTCTTACACAGTCTCTGCAGACAGTAAAACAAAGACTTAATCATATAATATCAAAAGCAGCCCAAAGCAAATTAGTACCATGCTAATCAACAATTTTACACAAAGAGCTTAAAATGCATTGTCTTAGTTTAACATCTTTACTGCACACAATTTTCAAAATTATTAACTGATCACACACACACAGCATCTATGCTGCTTTTCCTCCTGGGTCACTTTGGGGGTTGTGTGCCTATCCCAGCAGTCATCAAGTGGAAGGCAGGAAACACCCTGGACAGGCTGCCAGTCCATCACAGGGCAGACACACAGACATATACATCCTCACACACTAACACCTAGGGGCAATTCAGCATGTCCAATTCGCCAGACTGCATGTCTTTGGACTGTGGGAGGAAACCGGAGCACCCAGAGGAAACCCACACAGACACAGTGAGAACATGCAAACTCCACACTGAAAGAATCCTGGACGTCTGGCCGGGGAATCGAACACAGGCCCCTCTTGCTGTGAGGCAACAGCGCCACCGTGCCGCCATCATTATTAACTAATCACATGTAAGTTAAAAGAATTGGGTCAGTTTTGTGTCAGTCTTGGACTAAATTGCAGTGCCAGTGATGAATCACCTTCAAAGATTCTTTTTAGTCTAGGAGGAGGCTTAGTCTGGGTCTGGGAAAGTGGCCCATTAAGTGTTAAGATCAATAAGGAAGCAAGCATTATCACCTGGGGTTTATTTCACAAACCACGATTTCTCAGCTTGCCAGAAGTCCAGGCTGTCCACAGATAAAGGTCAAGGGAAATCACTATTGGACAATCCTCACTTAATTTTGACATTTTTCAGCTAACAGAGATACTGGTTTGTGCAAAACTTTATTCCTGACAACAGTGATGCAAACAGCAAAAAATTTCAAAATGTAAAAATAGGATGCAGTAGGTTCTCTTCTCTTAATAATGTTCTAAACTGTGAATTTTGGTAAGTCTTATGTTTTGGATACACCTCCAACTGTTTTTTTCTGATTTAATGCACTGCTTCATTTTGGCTGATACTACAATTAAGACCATCTTGAGCATTCAGCATAACTGTAAATGCACAGAACAGTCTGAAAACAGCTGCTGTAATAAAACTACATTTAACAGAAGGAATAACTGTAGGGAATTTAAGCTACAGGGTTTTCCGCAGGTGTGTGTTTTACTCATGGGTTCTTTCCCCATCACACAGGGTTGCCAGATTTGCTGTTTTCTGGTTAGTTTAAAAGTGCACAGAAGATCAATCAATCAACCTTTATTTAAACTTAGAGTACACTGAGGGAGAACCTCATTTACAATGTAGCTGAGCCAATATAGAAATCAGGGATTGAGAAGTTAAATAGTAAAAATGTGACAAATGCTAAAAAGCAATAATAATCATTGTAGTAAATTAAAAAAAATAAATAAACCATTAAAATTAAACATAATTGTAAGTTTAAAGAGAAGATAAAAATAAATCAAAAATAAATGAAAAAATAAAAGATGTAAAACATTGGCTTGGGAACATTAAAATAAAAAAGAACAGAATAATAAAAATGAAACAATAACTAAAAACATACCAAATTTTATTTATTTACTTTTATTTATTTTAAAATCAATTAAAACAGTTGCAGGCTGATTGGAAGCGGTTAGAAACTAACACACCAGTGAGTGAAGCTTTAAAGTTTTCTGTAATACATTCCAGCTCACTGGTGCACTGTAGCTAAATGCAGATTTTCACAATTCAGTAAAAGCTCTCAGCACCTGAAGGGTAATCCAATCACTGGAACACGTCTGGTAAAATGCATTACTTACGCTGAGCATTTCTGTGATGTACGATGGCATGCAGCCCATAAGTGTTTTATAGATAAAGAGAAGCCAGCGAACAGACAGAAATGACAAGCCAAACTTTTCATACAGTACACAGTGTTTGGTGTTGTATGGATCACCAGTAATGAATCTTAAAGCATAGTGGTATAAAGAATCTAGAGATGTTAGAGTAGTTACAGATGCATTTCTTTATATTATGTCGCCATAATCCAGGGTAGACGTTGATTTAAAAATCTTTTTCCTTTTTTGGGAAACATAAATTTGAGTGTGTTAATATGGTGTTAAAAAGTGCATTTATCATCTAGCCATATGCCGAGATATTTGTACTCACTAACTCTTTCAATGTCAGATCCCTTTAGAGTTGTGATTTTAAAAGCATTAAGATCAATGTAAGAGGCTCTGGAAAACAGCATAAACTTAGTTTTCTCAACATTTAAGACTAGTCTTGTGACTGTAAAAAGCTTATTGTAGGACATTAAAAGACTGCTGCAGTTTATCCACTGCAGTGCCAATACAGTCAGCCAAGCAGTACGAGATGATGTCATCCGCATATAAATGTGCCGTGCAATCAACAACAGAGGTGGCAATGTCATTAATGTAAACATTAAATAGTACTGATCCGAGAATGGAACGTGGTGGGACCCCTTTAGTTACCAGTAGAAGCTCTGATTTACTTTGTCCCAGGGCCACACTTTGCTGTCTATTGGACAGATAATTTCTAAACCAGTTGGTGGGTATGTGGTCAAAAACAATATTTTGTAGATTTTTTAAAGGTATGAATGATAATGATAATGATAAATTGTATCAAAGGCTTTAGAGAGATCAATAAAAATGACTGCACACTGTTTCTTTCAATGGATCTGAAAAGATCTTCTAAGATGAAAGGAGCAGCAGAAATTGTGCTGTGCTTTTCTCTAAAACCAGGTTGGTAGTTAGACAGGACTGAATTTCTATGAAGAAATATTTTGAGTTAATCATTCACAAAGGTTTCTAAGATTTTAGCTAAGCATGACAATTTTGAGATGAGTCTATAGTTACTGTAGTCTGAGACATCACCTCCTTTGTGAAGTGGAATTACATGTGCTGTTTTCCAGATACTGGGAATTCTGCTTGATGAAATAGATACATAAAAAAAAAGTACGTAACGCATTCCAAAATAATCGGGGTCGCAAGCCTCAGAATGTAGGGCTCCTCTCCTGTATTATTTTTTAGTGTTCATGGTTTTGAGGACTTCGGCTACTAAGCGAGGAGAGAACGGGTGAATTGAAAAGAGATGAAAATTGAATCAGAAAAAAGATGAAACGTATGTTTTTGTTTTGAGTACTTTCTAAATGTACAGCTGCCATGGAAAAAGGTTTGAAAATATAAGCAAATCATCTTATAAATGTATATGTATTCTAGTGTTAAACAGCTGGCAAACCAAGGACATGCAGTCCCATTTGATCATTCTAAACCTGAAGGAGGACAAACATGCATGTACTATCACAAAAACAGATCTTTATAAAGAGACGCTTAAAACTAGTACGATACCACTAAACAATAAGAGTACTCACAAGCGATGACTTGAAAGAAGATTAGGTAGATCCAGAAAGATTATTTAAAAAAATATGCTGTTTTTTAAACCCCATTTCAGACATTTTGCGTTTGAACAGATTTTGGGTCAGTTTCAGCTTCTAATGGGTTTTAATGAAACTTTCGGCTGTCCATTCTGTTTTACACTGATGGATGTGAGAGACGCATAGCACGAGTGTGGTCACATGACCACTACAACTTGCAGGACATTCACACATTCTGTGTTTGCACTTCAGCAAGAAACATCTACAGATATTCTTTAACCAAATGGATAAACAGTCAAATTAGCCACCCTGCTCAACAAAGATATAATTCTTAAAAGAACACAGTACATTTGTTTAACTCTGACTTGTGATTAAGCAATTGCTTCAAGCCAGGTAGACCATCCTGGAAATCTGTTTCAGCATGGAGTGTTGAAGCAGCATTTTGTTTAATACAACCCCATTCCATGTAAATGAAAATAGAATGCAATGATATTTTCAAATCATGTAAACTCTATATTTAATTGAAAATAGTACAAAGTCAACATATCCATGTTTTTTGAAAAATATATACCCATTTTAATTTTGATGTCAGCAATATGTTTCAAAAAAAGTTGGAACAGCTGTGCTGCATCACTTCCTCTTTTAACACACTGTGAGCTTTTGGAAACTGCTGTAGTTTTGAAAGTGAAATGTTTTCCCATTCTCGCTTGATATAAGATTTCAGCTGCTCAACAATTTGGGGTGTCCTTTGTTGTATTTCTCACCGCGCCAAATGTTTTCGACAGGTGACAGGTCAGGACTGCAGGCAGGGCTGTTTAGCACCCTACCTCTTTTGCCATAGAGCCATGTTGTTGTACTTGTAGAATTGCTGATATAAGCAAGGCCTTCCCTGAAAAAGATGTCGTCTAGGTGGCAGCATGTGCTGACAAAACCTGTTTATGTCATTCAGCGTTAATGGTGCCTTCATAGATGTGCAAGTCATCCATGCAATGTGCATAATGCATCCCTATACCATCACAGATGCTGGCTTTTGAACTGTGTGCTGATAACAAGCTGGATGGTTTTTAGCCCTGAGGATGCAGTGTCCATGATTTCCAAAAAGAATTTTAAATTCTGATTCATAGGACCACAGGACACTTTTCCACTCTGCCTCAATCCATCTTAAATGAGCTTGGGCCCAGAGAAGGTGGCGGTGTTTATGGATCCTGTTTATATATGGTTTCTTCTTTGAATGTAAGTGTTTTAACTAGCATTTGTGGATGCAGCAATGAACTGTGTTCACAGACAAGGGTTTTTGAAAGTGCTCCTGAGCCCCTGCAGTGTTTTCCATTGCAGAATCAAGTCTGTTTTTAATGTAATGCTGCCTGAGGGCCTGAGGATCACGGCCAGCCAATACTGGCTTTCGGCCTTGTCCCTTGCATACAGAGATTTCACTGGATTCTCTTAATCTTTTAATGATGTGATGTACTGTAGATGGTGAAACGCCCAAGTTCTTTGATATTTTATGGTGAGAAACTTTATTCTTAAACTGTTGCACTATTTGCTCACAATGTCTTTCACAGCGTGGTGAACTCCTCCCTCTCTTTACTTCTTAAAGGCTTAGCCTCTCTGGGATGGGATTTTTATTCCA